TATGTGCATGTGGACTCAGTAGACATGCCCAACTGTCCTTCCCTAACTTGTCCATATTCCACCACAGACCTTTTTCTACATTTACCCATGAACGTTTTGTAGCAGTGGATCTTAGCTGATCCGGCTTAAGGACCATCAACCCTTAACAACAATCACGACTCAAATTAAATATTATTTCCATCTTATCAAGTATATGGAATGAAAACATGGTGTGGTTTGATCCTGAGAAAGTAGAATAGAGTACCATAGTACGCCAACACACACACACACACACACACACACACAAAACAAATTTAATGACAAACCAAAAAACAAGTACCCATGCTACAGATGGGAATATTCACTTTTACCTACATTTTAATTAAAACCTAATATCTTCACCAGTAACTTCAGCCTTTAAAAAAAAAAATGGCAGCGCTTTCAATCATGAAATACAGAAGTTCAAACACTGTGAAGTACTTTGAAAAATACACAAATTATACAGCTTTTGCTGTGTACACACCCATGATTTTATTATACATGCAAACATTTTATTACATCCAAAATACTAGAATTGTGTATTTCGTTATCAATCCTAATTAGGTAAGACATAATATCTACAGCTGAAATCATAAATTATTTTGTAATTTAGAAATGTTTATAATAATGTAGGATTTTACAGAGCACAGGCAGAAATATATTCATACCTCTGGCACCAAGATACTCTGAGGTATTCAGCTAAGTTGAGAGCATCCTCTGTGTGTGGGTTTCTGTTTTTTTCTCTCATGCTCTTCTTTGTAAAACTTTGTACCAATGTGAAAGTTGGAATATTTATCCATAGTTTCTAATAATTTAATGTATTTCTGCATCCTAATAAGGCACGGCCAGTATAACATTCCGACAATTTAAACTTGAGCAAAAATACTACAGTCATAACTACTATTAACTAATTAAATAATGTTAAATATCACTATGAAGACTATATAGATAACCTTTAAATCCCAATTGATATGACAGATATTTTTTGCAAGGGAAGCTTGGGCCTGAAGGCAACCCAACATGCATGTTTTTGGACTGCGGGAGGAAACTGGAGTACCTGGAGAAAATCCACACAAACATGAGAAGATCATGCGACCTCCTCACAAAAACACACCAGCTCCAACCTGGGACTTTTTTGCTGTGAGGCAACTGTGCTAACCACTGAGATGGATCTATCAAGAGAGAGAGAGAGATGATAGATAGATAGATAGATAGATAGATAGATAGATGGATGGATGGATGGATGGATGGATGGATGGATGGATAGATAGATACCGGACTATCTGGTGTGAAAACGACCTTATAGGCCACTCTATGTTCCTCCCTCTTTAGGAAATACATATTGACTACAGCCATTTCCATTCTCTTGGCAAAATACACCACCATCTGTCCTTTCTGGTTTATTTCCTTGACATCAAACCTACCCATCACTTCCTCACCCCCTCTGTTTCCGTCACCAACATGTCCATTCAGGTCTGTTCCAATCACCAATCTCTCCTCCCAAGGGATACTCTATCACTTCATTCAGATCCTTCCAAAAATTTATCTTTCTCCTTTATGTCACATTTATAACCACTGACAACATTCAACATCAGACCTCCTACTTCTAACTTCAGACACATCACTGTATCTAACACTCTCTTCACCTCTACTTCATTCTTTGCTAAATCCTTCTTCAGGACCACTCCACTCCCTTTATATTTCTATCCACACCATGGTAAAACAGTTTAAACCCTGCTCCAGTGCTGCGAGCCTTGCTTGGTCTTTTGGACACATAAAACATACCTTCCTTTTCTGCATCATGTCAGCCAGCTCTCTACCTTTGCCTGTCATTGTCCCAACATTTAGAGTTGCAACCCTCAGTCCTACATTTTAGACTTTCCTTTTCTCCCACTGTCTCCTGACACATTTCCATCCTTGTTGTCTTGGACTAACAGTAGCACAATTTCCGCCGGTGACCTGTTTGTCAACAGCACCGGTAGTGGTCATTGTTATCCTGGGCCTGGACCGATCTGGTACAGTGTCACTTAGATGAACTCGCATGTTAGTTTTGACAAAAGTGTTTTACATTGGATGCTCTCCCTGACACAACCTTCACCATTTACCTGGGCTTGGGATCAGTACAAGAGATACACTGGCTTGTGCTCCCTAGTGGCTGGCAAGGCTGACAAGCTGATGTTAGCTAGCTGATTAGCTGCATATAGAATGTCTGCAGTGGGCTGTTTATTACATTTGCTAACATTTTGTAGCTTGTATTTGCTTTAAAACAGTGTTATCTGTAAAAGAGAGACGGTTGGAACATGTCTGCAGCTAGGATCAGTATTGGGAGATATGTAAAAACTTTTTCACTGAAGAACCGTCAGTCTACCAGCCAACAACTGGTCATGCATTTGAGTAGCTTTGCTAAAATGTATTTGTATATTTTTGTATTTTTTAGTCTAAAACCATTTTACTCAGAAGTTGGACTGTGTAATTTTTGGTTTCTGTACAACTGTGAAAGAAGTTGTGACCAAACCAAAATAAAGTCATTTATTTGGGATTAGACCTACATGTGGTTTAAAACCAATAAGTTAGCAAGAAGAAAAAGGGCCTACATGAGATCTCTGCAGCTCTAAAAATTTAAATAAAGAACAAGCAGCCTTGTCGTGCGGAGTGAGGATATGTTAACATGTATAATAAAGCATGTGTATCATTTTAATATGTGCTCAATAACATTGTAACGTCTGAACTTCCAGGATAAATGTCTTGAAGCAACACAACCTCAGTGCACATCATAAAATTGTGTGAAAGTGTAGAGAAGGGATCCCAGCGGACAGGTGGTGTGACCATGGAAAACACAGTTCAGTTAGCTGACCTGGCCTTTTATTTTTATTTTTTGGAGCTAAGCAGACAAAATAACTAATTGAATGAAAAGTCCAGAATGAAAATGCTCAAATGAAATTTCAAGTGAAGCGTAAGAAATCCTCAGCATTACTTTCAATGTGACAATTTTAAAATCATAAATAAATACAATAGCTAAAGATGATATACCATCAAGTGCAATCTTTTTTCTAACCATGTAAGAAGGCACGGCTCTTTTCAAAGAATTCATAGAAAGAGTGACAGATCCAGCCTTTTGGGTGGACTCTATAGGTAAACGCTGAATTGTTGGACCTGAATAGATGGCGCTCATGATGGAGAGGACGTGATTATAGAATATTCCAGGTTAGTCATTTCTGTTCATTGTGCCTCAGCTAATGGATGTCTTTGTCGCGGCTCTGCTCAGGCTCCACTCTCAGCTCATATGAAAAGAGGAAATTTTTGCTCCACAAAGATGAACACAAAGTGCTGATAGCCAGATGTTCAGAAGAAGCTGTGAAGGAGCAAGCAGCTAAAAAGACATATATCATAAAAAAAAAACCCTGTTGGCAGGTAGTTATGTCAGAAAACTATACCTTTAAAAGCTTGAATGAATAAATTGTGTTCCAGCTAATTGTATTTTCATTTAATCTTGAGAGATGAGAAATTAACCCAACTGTTCAGAACCATAAACTCCCTTTCCACAAGACTGATTTATTTGAAGGCAAAACATCATGATTTTTGTTTCCCATCATGGAGCCAAGAGGAGGAATTGGTAATACCCTTTGTCCATCATTCAGTCCATCTGTACATGTGAGCATAATAACTTAAAAGATAGGTTGTTATCGACTTCTATTCTGGTGTATGGCTGCACCTAGGCATAAGAAAGATTGCCACATCAAAATCCTTGATGACTGCTATATATATATATATCAACCTTGAGAGCTGGATAACTTCATAAATAGGCAGTGTGAGAAAGTCCATTTAATTAAGTGGCTGCATATAGGCATAAGAAAGATCAGTATCTAAAATTGGGTTGTCACATCAAAATCAAAGATGGCCACCATCATATACATGTGTAAATCGGCAACTATCCAATCATTTGAGGAAACTAGACTTTTAAGTTTTAATATTCCTTAAAAGTCTAGTTTCCTCAAGTGACTGAGGTGACCAAAAATTAATCTATGGGGGCCAAGGTCACCATTGGCCACCCGTGGCTCCACCATTGCATCTGGCTGTAGATAAAAGTATACCTCAACTCTGAGTCACTCTGTTGCTTCGGACAAGGAAAAAGAAAATCCTCCCCATTTTTTTTCCACAAACTCCTACACACTTGAATATGTTGCACCAAAACTTACATCCCCTGTTCAACTCCAACCCAGAAATGCACTCATCTCCAAAACGACAATCATTTTACTATTCATTTCCTTCAGCGACAGGGGACATTGGTGTACCACTTTTTAATGATAGTCCAGCAGATAGCTCATCAAACCACATCAGTCAGAGTTTCTATTACTTGTATAAAAAAACAAAAAACAACTATGGCTTGAAACGATGTGCAGATTATCTTTGATGCAAGCTGTCGTGGATGATTTAAATATGTCTGGTGTGTTTGTTAATCCCTCTATGTGCCCTTGTGATGCCACGAGATGAGTGCAAACAGTTTCATTGGAATGGTTCACTCTAATTTGATATTTACTCTGCTGCATACTTGACATTTCACACAGTTCGTTTACGTCTCTGAAGACGGTCTAGAGGCTCGGCATGTATTAATGACTCAGGCTGGGGTGCAAAGATGATATGGATGCAGGGCGTTCCATGAAGCTGAATGAAAAGCCGCAACTGTTATTTATGGATTTGTGCATCGAGGCGTGTGGGCGGTTAATGTGTGAGAGCATATTGTTTCTAAAGCTTCTGCAGAGAGAAAGTTTTCATCAGCAGAAAGAATAAATGAGCTGCAGTGATTTCACATACAGACGGAGTCAATGAAAGCAGGAGTGCTTTCAGTCATGAGGTTTACAGTCAGTGGGCAAGTGGTGCTGAGCTCTGATAGAACTTGTGGTCATGACTCGTAAGTACCTCTACATGAGCTGCCTGTTGTCTAAAACTGAAGTACGGTGTTGGGTTCAAGGACCCACTTCAATGCTGATATTACTGTGTGGAGTGCAGTGGGATACGTACCCTTGCGAATAGCGAGGAGTGGAGCTAGAGCGCTTTGGTGCCAAACAGTGATGAGCAGAGTCCAGGGTAACACAATCAACACGATGGCAAGAATATCTCTTCTCTTCGGCATGTCCGGGACTGGTTGTTTGGCTCGGCATTACCTGAAGAGAAAAATAGATTTCAGTAAAAATCACTGTGAGAGACTTTGACAAAACTGAAAGCTACTGGAATACTGATGTAGAAAAATCACAGAGAATTTTACGATTAAAGGGAGGTGGAAACCACTGGAAGAGGCCTCTGATCGCAGTCAGTCTGTGACTTAAAGTTTACCGGTCAGTGCTGACACTAATTAGTTAAAATGTAACTAGACAATGGTGCTAAACAGGACTGATTGTTTGGAAAGTGGGCTCTTCTCCAAGTTCAGAACATTTGGTTCATATTGGTTTTCTTTTCAAACATCTAATTACAGAAAGATGTCTAAAAAGAATAAGTCAGGTCCTCGGGACGGATTCTTCTTGTTGAAACGTTTTGTCATTTATCCAAAATACTTCTTCAGTCTGAAGAGCTGCAACAAACTCAGTCTTATAAGCAGCACCTTCTCATAATGGATCAACAAGTCTGCTGGTGACAGCCAGAATTAGTCGTTCAGATGCAAAAGGAGAATCATCAGCCTAACAACTGATCGTTAGTGGCCTGATGGCCGCTTGCTATTGACAAAGGGCTGAGTGATAATTGCAATAACAGCATTGCAAGAGGGGGACAGTCGAACACGTAGGCCTCCACCCCTGTTTAATGATGGACAGGTTCATTTCACAAAGATGGCCTCCTTTACGCCTCTCTTAAATCATCGTTCTTCTCTATCAAGGATGTGAACATCTTCATCCCTGAAAGAGTGACCACCGGCTTGCAGATGAGTGTAGACCGCAGAGTCCTGGCCTGATGATGATCTTCTATGCCGGGCCATCAATTTGGCCAGTGGCTGTGTAGTTTCCCCAGTGTATGACTGATCACAGCCCTCCTGGCACTGGACAGTATTCACAATGTTATTCTGTTTGTGCCGGGGGATTGAATTTTTGGGATAAACCAGTATTTGTCTTAAGGTATTTTGAGGTTTGAAAGCCGCTGGGACGTTGTGTTTAAAAAATAAACATCTCAGTTTCTCTGAATCTCCAGCAACATACGAAATGACCACTGGTCTGGGTTCCTTTTCACCTGATGGTTGACTGGTGTCCTGCTTATGTTTCTTCTCTGCTTTCAGGAAGGCCCAGTTAGGATATCCACATTGCTCTAGAGCCTGTCTTGTGAGGGATTTTTTTCTTCTGCCTAGCTCCTGAGTTAGTGGGGACGCTGTCTGCTCTGTGGTACAGAGTCCTGATGACTCCTAACTTGTGCTCCAGAGGGTGGTGGGAGTCAAACTGCAAATACTGGTCTGTGTGGGTGGGTTTGCGGTACACCTGAATTTACAAATGTCCTCTATAAGAAACTGAAACTTCACAGTCCAAGAAAGCCAATCTGCAATATTTTACATCTTCTCGTGTGAACTTGATGTATTTATCCACAGAGTTGATGTGGTCAGTAAAATGTTGGACTTCCTGAGATTTAATTTTAACCCAGGTGTCGTCAACATACCTGAACCAATGACTTGGTGGTGTCCCTGAAAAGGACGTCAAGGCTCTCTTTTCTACCTCCTCCATGTACAGGTTGGCAACAATAGGAGAAACTGGAGACCCCATAGCACACCCATGTTTCTGCCTATAATATTGCTCCCCATATGTGAAGTAGGTTGACTGCAGGCACAGTTTCAAGAGTTGACACAGTTGTTCTGTGGAAAGTGTGGTCATGCTGCTCAGAGTGGTGTTTGATTTTAACCTTAAGGTCAAGGTCAAAGTTTCTTTCTTGTCATTCACATCATATGTGGTACATATGATGGAATGAAAATGTGTACACAGTGTCCCAATTATATCTATCAAAGTATAAATTGTAAAAGAAAAAGAGTAAAAAGATCTAAGATATGAACTCAGAAATACACTAAACTAATAATACACTGAGCACTAATAGTACAAAAACAATATGCCAAACAACAGCAGCACAAACATGAGTCTGTGGGAGCAGATCGTTTGAGCAGATGAGTATGAATGAACACAGCAGCATGAAATAAATCAGCAGCATGAGATCAGCAGCATGGATAGTCAGCAGCACATATCAACATTCAAGTGGCATTACAGTGATTTTTCTGTCTAGAAATTCATGAGTCTAACAGCTTCAGGTTAGAAGCTGTTCCTGAGTCTAGTGGTTCTACATTTAATGCTCCTCAACCTTCTGCCTGAGGGGAGCGGGGAAAAAAGTGTTTGTGCTGGATGAGTGGGGTCCTTCATGATGCAGGTCGCCCTCTTCCTAATGATGATGAGTACAGACACCAAATATCTGGCATCTGTATGCAGTGATTTAAAATAATTTGTAATAAATTTGTTTAAGAACAGTGATAAGTTTTTTTTTCATTTCTGATATCTCAAAAGCAGTAGAACGCACACATGCATGCACACAGGGTCTTGTATTTCTGACTTTGTGGGGACTTTACATTGACTTCCATTCATTTCTATAGCCTAAACCTGACCCTTACTCTAACCCTTCCCCACCCACACACACATGCCAAGCTGAAATTTGACATGTACCACTCCCCTTGGGTGCTAATACAGAGGCTAAGCAAAAAATACAAACATTGAAATCCGCTTAAAATTCACCCATAAAGAAAAATATGTTTACATAGACTAAACGTTCAAAACTTCACAGAACATTTTTTCCACAAACAATTATAATGGAAACAATAAAACCCAGTAGAAGGTCAAACAAACCTATACACTGACTTTTGTGATTAAAACAAGTTTTTGTTTCAGATAGTGCATTTAGGACGTTACTGAATTTTTTAGAATGGTGCCTCTCATAAATACATTTAAAAGTGAACATTTGTCAAAGTAGGTGAAAACATAAATCTCTGTAAACCTGTTAAAGATTATAACAAGTACTTACACTTGAAGACAAGTCTATGTCTCCATCTGTGACCAGCTCCGTCTGATTGAAGTTTCTAAGAAAGGCAGAGACAAAAAAAAAGATAAATTAGTAATATAAACACAGTTATCCAACTTTTATAAACATTAGTTAAGCAGCAGTTTTATCTGAAAACAGATTATACTACAAGGTTCTCACAATTACATAAAGATTTCCCTGAGTTTTCCCTGATTTTATCAAGTAAATCCTGAAATTTCAGGATATATTTCAGTCTCACAAACTGCTAAAAACTATAGTATACTGTAGCCCATGATACACATTCAGCAATCATTCCTAATAAATAACTATACTGTATAAGATCCAAAACTGAAAGGCCACCAGAACCAATCAGTAAGGATACATGTACTGTGGACACTGTGCAGCAGAGCATGAACTCAGTGATACTGGAATACTAGCATCAACACATAAACACGGTAAAATCTCAGATGAGTTTTTAATCAGCAGATCAGTGTTCTAATTACTTGTTTTCCCTGATTGTTTTGTTTTCTCAAATTCCCTGAAGTGCAGTTTCTTCAAAACCCGTCTTACCCCAATATTTAAAAAAAGCAACAAACAATTCCACTTGGGAAAATTGCCAAAGGATAAGTGAAATACAGGCAAATAATGAATGGTACCTGTCAAATTTCAGCTTGGCGTGTGTGTGTGCACTTTCATACTGCTTTTGAGAAGTGTCAGAAACAAAAAATCCCTATCACTGTTCTTAAACAGTGGGGTAGCTGTGGCTGAGTGGTTAGAGCAGTCGTCCTCCAGTGCAAGAGTTGAGAGTTCAATTCCACCAGCAGCCACATGCTGAAGTGTCACTGGGCAAGACACTGAACCCCTCATTGCTTCTGATGTGTCCCATCGGTGTATGAATGTGATAAAGCTCTGATTAATCTTTGTATAGATCTAGTAGAGTGCTGTATGAATGGATAAATGACGGCACAGATTGTAAAGCGCTTTGAGTATCGTGATAAGATAGAAAGGTTCTATAGTCCATTTACCATTTAAACAAACTAATTCTATTTTTTTTATCACTGCTTCGTAAACTTAAGAGCTTAGTTACCCATCCCATATTAAATCAGACAGATAAAAAAACTTTGCAGAATCTCAAGCAGAACGCTTCATTCAGTCACTCCGCAGAGCAGTGATGAAAAACGAAAACATTAACAGTGAGTGAGAGGAGACGTATGTTTCAATTTTATCTATCAAGCATGAAAAAGACTATTGTTTGCTTAGGCATTTGTGGTTGGGGGATCCTAATGACGTTAACTTTTGGCCTGAGTATCTAGTCAAACAAGGGTCAGGAGAGTTTGGGGTGTGGACCTGTCAAATTTGACAAAATGTGGGGTATTTACTCTCTCTGGACTCCTCAGTTTTAGAGCCATGCTGTTTAATTAACCTCAGTTTGTGGTTTAGCATTGTCTTGCTGAAATATGCAAGACCTTCCCTGAGAAAGTCATATGGTTAAGAGCACGTTCTTCTAAAACTCTCCCAAGTTTTTTGAGTTATTTTGCTTTCATACACTTCAGTTATCTATTTTTACTCTTCATAAAAAAGGAAAAATGTTTAGTTTAAACATTTGATATGTTTACTATGATCCATTTTGAAGAAAACATGGGTTTATTAAATCTTCAAATAATATATATTTTTTAAATTTTATTTACATGTTTTACATCATACCCTTTATTGAATAAATAAATGTTGTTCCAGTCTGATTCTATTAATATTCCAACAAAGTTCAGTCAGGTCATCTGGACAGTTTATTTTTATTGTTGAGACGTTTTGTCCTTCATCCAAAGGACTTCATCAATCTGAGGAGCCATAAACAAACTGAGTCCCACAAGCACCAACTCCCATAGTGGACCAACCAGTGTGCTGGTGATAATATGGTTTCTCCCCTGTCAACTCCTGAAGCAGCCATTGCCAAAGTGGTTCAAAACATCAAAGTTCATGCTCAATAATCCAGGTAAAACATTCAACAAAGTTCAGTCAGGTCATTTGGACAGTTTATTTTTTTATTGAGACATTTCAGCCTGGTCCGCATCGCCAGCAGTAAGTCGGGCTTGTTCCCAGTGAGAGTTGGACTCCGCCAAGGTTGTCCTTTGTCACCAATTCTGTTCATAACTTTTATGGTCAGAATTTCTAGGCGCAGCCAAGGTGTTGAGGGGATCCGTTTTGGTGGCCTTAGGATTGCGTCTCTGCTTTATTGCAGATGATGTGGTCCTATAGGCTTCATCAGATCGTGATCTACAGCTTTCGCTGGAGTGGTTCACAGCCGAATGCGACGCGGCGGGGATGAAGATCAGTTCCTCCAAATCCGAGGCCATGGTCTTGAGCCGGAAAAGGGTAGAGTGCCCTCTCCGGGTCAGGGAGAGGGAAGTCTGGGCCTCCCTACTTAGGCTGCTACCCCTGCGAGCCGACCCCGGATAAGCGGAAGAAAATGGATGGATGGATGGATGGATGGATTTCGTCCTTCATCCAAAGGACTTCATCAATCTGAGGAGGTGGCTATGGCTGCTTCAGAGGTGTTAACGGGGGAGAGGGCAGGTCCCAGAAACCATCTTATCACCATCAAACTGCTTGGTCCACTATGGGAATGTGCTACTTATGGGACTCAATTTGCTTATGAAACCGTCCAGATGACCTGACTGAACTTTGTTGGATTTTTTTTACCTGGATTATTGAGCCTGAACTTTGCTATTATTAATATTATTATTATTATTATTATTATTATTATTATTATTATTATTATTATTAGGGATGCACTGATGCACTTTATTCTACTTCCGATCCGATCCGATACCCGTTGTTTGGTATCAGTTGATACCGATCCGATACCGTTCTGATACAGAAAATCAGTGCTGAATTAACAAAAATGGCTAATTCCTGTCATCTGGACCAATTTCTGAAACAGGTACAGATGACATGATTTAGCCATTTTTGTTGTCTACCTGGATGATTGAGCTTACAAACCCAGTGCTGAATTAATTTAAAACATTTGTTTTGTTAAACGCAGACATGAATGTACTGAATTTAAAATTTATTGAAAACTCTGCACCATAACAGCACACTTCAACACACCAAGAGCTTCTCAAGCTCGGTCAAACATGTAAAAACAACACAACTTTAATTTGTTCAGTCAGTACGCTAACACATGACGTCACTCAGAGCACAAAGTATAGAATTAGAGTGAATAGATCTGCCCAGTCATGGATCGGTCACATTGTCACCGATACCCGATCCAGAATTTTTATTTTATTTTTTAATATCGGTACCGATACTCATATCGGATTGGTGCATCTCTAATTATTATTATTATTGTTATTATTATTGTTATTATTATTGTTATTATTATTATTATTATTATTATTATTATTATTATTATTATTATTGTTATTTAAAGAGGAACAGACTCAGTGAACCGTCAGAGGTCACTTTTAGCCTAAAGTGAACTCTTTGTTTGCTCCAGAGCAGGTGATGAGTTCAGCTTCAGTTACCATGGCGATTTACTCATGATCAAAAACTTCCAGACTTTAAGTTCAACATCGGACTGTCTTTGATTATACCAAAATATAATCTAGATAAACTTGATAAAGCGGGATTAAATCTGAGGAGTGTGATGGTAAAAACCCACTAGAAGAAACTGCTGAAAAACAGGAACACGCATTTATCTGAATGAAACTAGCAGGAAAGTTTCCGAGCACCTGAGGCACCACCGCAGACGCACAGTCGTCGAGTTGCCATGGTAACCCAGGCGGCTCTGCTGCTTTGTTCAGGCAGAACCAAAAGATGTTACAGCACAACCTCTGATGAAAGGCATCATTTTCATACAGTTTCTGGGTCACACAGCCCCAGGAGAGTAAATACTGATTTGAGCACTTCTTCTGGATTCATTCTTTAATTTTATCACTCTGTATTAAAGTTTTTAAAGATTGAACTCACATATTTTACTAAACATCCTCAAAATAACCGGGTGGCTTCTATTATATGTTTCAAACCCAGACTCAAACATGAAGTCATCATGGCTTTACAGTGTCTGACCCAGAACGATGGGATTACAGTATTTACTGTGGATATAGTTAAACCTCTAAACGTTCCACTTCTTGTCCTCCCCTTTGGCTGCCCCCCTATCTGGGTCTCCACAGATCACCTGCCCCCCTCCTCCGTCACGCTGGCTGCCCAGGTGAGTATAGTTAACCTTGCAATGTGCATGGTACAGAATACAGTTCTGCAAGCTGTGCACACAAAATCATGTACAACCCATGTGCACAGCTCGCTGGTCACTCTGCTGCAAACAGGCCCAAACTCAGTGAGACTGCAGCTCAGAGTAAATGTGTTGCAGGTAATACTTATGTCCATTGTCTGCCCTTTAATTTTAATGTGTGATTATTTTGAACACATTGCTGCAGATCATGGGTCCGGTGGGTAAACACGCCTGGTTTGGGAACACCTCTGACCCACCTGGAGGAGGATGGACAAAGCGCTGACCTCACACACCTGAACTTACACATGTAAATGGAGAGACAGGAGGGGATGAATGTGCTGCTCTCTGTAGCTTACTTACATAAAATTAAGACAAACCTCATCTCTCCCAGGGCCCTGCTCGTTCTAAATATGATGTTGGCGAAATGCCAAGCTTAAGCAGGAAGAGTGCTGATAAAACCTGATGAGCTCAATTAAACAAAAGGACAGAGACATGATGCGGCCACAGATTGATTAGAGGAGGAAACAAGTGTTTCCCTCAGAGGGCAGCTCTACAGGCACAGACTCTGCTCATAAATATTTTGTACTTGTAAATCAATTTTGTAACCTTGTGAAACGAATCTATGATTTGCGCAGGACTTTGTGTGTGTAAAAAAAAAAAAAAATTGTATTTGTTAAAACATAATTGCACAAGTTACAAATGTTTTTTGTGAAGGTCTGTTTACAGATAAGAAGCTAATCCTACATGTAGATCTCTTCCTGTCAGTTTCATTGACAAATATGATTTTTGACCGGTTTTTATCCTCCCAGTTGATTGGCCAATGTCATGTC